TATCTTTATTGCATCTTCATCAATCGCAGGTCACCCCAGGTTCTTTAACCAGCTCTCCACCGGATTAGATATTGTGGGGTTGGCAGGAGAGTGGCTTACATCTACAGCCAACACTAATATGTGAGTACTGCAATACAGCCGGGATCAGCGCAATAAAAATGTGATGTTTTTGAAGTTATTAGGTTCATTAGATTCAGCCTATTTTAACGCTCTTTTTTTGTACTCACTGTTTTTAATGGCCCATGAAGAGAGAGGCTCCCAGTAAGAGGAATACTTCAAGGGACATACAGTAATTACTGTGTTTGGCAGAGGAATGCCCAGCATGCTCTAATAGATTGTCAGTCAAGCAAGAAAATAAAGAGCACAAAAGAAGACATTCAGATGGCTACTCACTGGCAGTATTGTCGATGTTGTCCTGCGCTTAGGCTGTGGTCACATAATTCAGCCCTGCAGGCAAACTAAATTGCATATTGATTTGCATTCACAGTTTACATGTTGTCTTTGTTCCATGTGCTGCTGGTTCCTGTGACATAACAATGCCGGGAGAGAAAAATGAGTCTTTTCCCTTCACAGGATCGGTACAGCAGCCATTATTGGGGCTCTGCTCAGTTTTGCTGTAGTGCAATCAATCCTGAATGTGAGTTTTAAATGACTCTTTGTCAGAGAAGACTGTGCAGGTGGTCGCAGTCAGGGCTGTAGTCTGTGGACATGTTGGACTGCATTACGTCATACTTTATAGACTGAGAAGAATGAGTGGTGTTTTGCCACCTAATGCGTTCAAAGGGGAAGGAACAAAACATACATAGCAATAGTGCTGCATTTGCATGCATCAGTGTAAAATAAAAAAGATGAGCGATTAGTTTTGTTGGTAATTTCTGCAAAATCTAGCCGATGAATAAAATAACAGGTGGAAATACTTAAACATTGCAGGTTTGTTTATCAGAGCTGGAAGGTCTGAGGGATGTCTGATCAAATCAGTATTGTACATTGTACCACTGTAACAGGGCGAGTTGTATCACTGAGCACCCCATCAAACAGGACTCACAAATCAGTGTCACACTGAAAATGTTACCAAGCTTAGTGAATATGTTCATATAGAGCACGGTTAGATTTCTGTCCACAAATGAAGTTATGCAAGAAAACAAATTTTTATAAAGCAAACATTACAAATTTCTCAGTCCCATTCCAGATATTTATATTTACTGACATCTTCAATACAGTCAACGTTAATGGATACATGTCAGTGCACCTGTTTGATCTGTAGTCAAATATCATTTATTTATATAGGAGAAAAAGGACACCTTTATTATTCCTAAGGGGGAATTTATTCTAAAAAAAACCCCCAAAACATCAAACGGGTATTAAATATTCAAAAAAGCAACAATAACAATGAGATCATAGTGAGTTACTCAGAAGACTTACAGTATGAAATGACTTTTTCCAGTCTATTTTTCCTGCATGTTGGAATACAGAGACATAAACAAGTTAAACTCCTTTGATAGAGGGAGGCTAGGATCAGCCGGGAGGTCATTCGGGGTCACAGTGTAATGATACCTTAAAGTCTCTTATTGTTTTTTTTGTTTTTTTTAGGTTTAGTGACCCGAACGAGCTGAGAATACAATAAAACATTCTCATAAAAGTGCTATCGACATGAAAACGACAAAGCTTGTGATAAAACTACATGTGCTGGTGATTTTTGAACTTCAGGTAGACATCATCCACCTGAACGTCAAAGGTCAGCTTATGTAGAAATCGCAGAAGCGTCAGATGCCTGGTTTGATTTTAGCCATGGACCTTGTTTCCTGTCTCCTATTAGAAATTAAATGATCTTTAAAAAGAAAAAGTGCTTTTACATTACATTACAATCTCACTGTTAAATGGCAATACATGCATCTATCAGCTAAAACCACTTATATACTAAACAGACGAGGAGGGTTGGCAGCATGGACAAGTCATCTGTGAATCACACTGCTTGCACTCCAGATGAAAATTGGACTTTGCTTGTGATTAAGCTACATAAAAAAGCCGACAGAGGGTTGTAAAAAAATGGCTGTTGACATAACTTAATTGTTCATTAATGTCTTATAGATCAGTCCATTGTTAAGAACAAATTATGGGTTGCCAAACTGAAAAATCCCTTTGCCTCGTTGGTCAGCTTAGTTATTCTCCTTCAGCACAATAAATGACGGCAATTTTCTTTTTTTTTTTAAGTTTATAACCGATCTGTCATCATTTCTGAGCAGAGCTCATCCTTCACAACAGATTATCTAGATATTAGTGGAGCTTTTAGAGGGTAATAGATGTGAAGGTTTATAGTAGACTAATGCTTTTCAAAGTCTTCTTCCCTCTCATTGGTTGAGACATCAGTCCATCATGTGGCTTTCAAAAAGTACCCTCACCTTTTGTGTTGCTAGCGACACCCCTGTGGAGGAGTTGAACCCACGGGTGGAGGTTGCTTACACACCAATTTACCTTTATTAATTACTCTATCAACCCTAATTACCCCTGGCAGATATTGACTGACACTAATAGACTGACAATCACATCCTGGTCTTACATAATCAGAATGAGTGAGCCTCGTCTGCATGAACGAATCTGACTTGTTTATGTTTTTTCCCCTTCATGTTGCCATGGGTCTACACATGTTGAAGATGCTGTGAGTTACAGTGTGACATACTGCATTGTTCCTAATGATTTAGTTACTGTCTTTACATGAATGGACAGATATTTGTGCAAGCAGAAGAATACTGGTTTGGAGAATTTGGATGAGTCTTTTTGTGCTGCAATTCCAAATTGGCTGTGTGTTTCTTTGAGGTTGTTGGTTTTCATCTTGTTTTGTTATATGACAAATCGTATACAGTCAGGGTGAAGAGAAAGTTCAGTTACTAAATTTTAATAACTTCAATTTCAACATGAGGTCTGGACTTTGACCGGTCCTTTGCAGCATCTTGATTCTTTCCTTTTTTACCCATTCTGTTGTAACTTGTCAATTTAGGCCAAACCTTAGGTGCTGGAGCGATAGCCTCACATTTGTCTTTAGAATACTTTGGAGGAGTTTGTGTTGGACTATGTTTGACAAACCTAAATCCTTACCCCTCCACATCCATGCTTGACAGTTGGTATGAGGCGTTTGTGTTGAAGTCTTGTGATTTGTTCAAATCGAACTTTGCAAACCTAGGACACATTGCCATGTTCTTTGGTCACCAGGAGAGGCTGTTTCTTGGCAACCCTTCCAAACCATACTTGTTCAGTCTTTTCCTAATTGTACTATCATGAAGTTTAACATTTAACATGCTACCCATGGCCTGTAGAGTCTGAGATGTAGCTCTCTGTGGGGGGTTTTAAGTTTGTCTGAGCATTGCGTGGTCTGACCTCTGGGCGAATTCGTCCACTCCTTATAACTCCTGATGGGCACATATTGGTCTTATCCTTCCAGAGCTGCAAAATTTCCGCTTGAGATGATCTGCTGTGGTGACCCCTAAAGGCTAAAAGAAGAAGAAGAGCTTTATGGCATACAAAAATAAGATGAATTTCATATTGTTTTTAAGCAGCAGCCAAGTGCTGGCATCTCCAACAACCGTTTTTTCACCCCATGAGTATAACAGATGACTACTTTCCTTTAAAAAATACTTTGTTCTGACCAAGACTGGCCCTTTCAGTGTCACCAAAAATTAACTTACTGCTCATGCTGTATACAATTAAAGTATCCAAATGCACTTCATGCTGCCCCTCACCTCACAACTGAGCTGATGTTTTTTTTTTTAATCTAATACTGTCCATCTCTAAAACATTAATTAGAGTTAAAGACTGTGCTACATTTTTAAGTGGAAATCAAACAGCCGGGTTTCATTTACATGTAGCTCTTCAAGTTCTCTGCTTTTGGTTTGGTTCAGGTTCACCTACGAGATCGCCCCCGTTTTTGTGCTAATGGAGCAGCTGACTCTGAAAAAAATGAGAGAGATTGTTGGCTGGCCAGATGGAGAGGGTGATGGGATATTTTCTCCAGGTAAAATCTCAACCAATGATCAACCTCCAATGGAAGCACATGTGCATGAAAACAGTAAAAATGCAATCATCAAACTATACTCATGATGCAAAGTGTCCCATTTTAAAGACAAAAGAAACAGACATTGGGATTATAAAATTACAAATGTGTAAAATAATAAAAGGTGAGGTTAGTATTAACTGCTTCATATGCAGCTGGCTGCTTTACCATTATCAATGCATCATAATTATTTTTAAGTATGTGAATCTACAAAGTTATTAGTAACTGTCAGGGACAAATAAAGAAAGTAGTAGAAGAAGTTTTGCCTTTGAAATATCCATATTATCACATATGTCGCAAATTTTTAAGCCATGTTTTGATTCTGCAGGAGGAGCAATTTCCAACATGTACAGTGTGATGATTGCCAGATACAAGTTCTTCCCAGAAGTGAAGACCAAAGGCATGGCAGCTGCACCCAGACTGGTCCTCTTCACCTCAGAGCATGTTAGTCAAACACTAACGGTGTCACTGAATATTAACATCTCACCACCGGAGCATATTTACGCTAGGTGGGCAAATAAATATCAGCATCATAGTGATGAGTGATGAACTCCTGTCCCTGCAGAGCCACTACTCCATCAAGAAAGCAAGCGCAGCTCTGGGCTTCGGAACAGAGAACCTGATCCTTTTGAACACAGATGAAAGGTTTGTTTTGTTATTTAACCTACCTGCACATAGTTTAGGAAAAATATTTAACATCTAGATGAGATACTACTGCATATCCTCTTCTTTTCCAGAGGGAGAGTCATTCCTGCTGACTTAGAAGCCAAAGTAATAGAGGCCAAGCGAAAGGTAAATGTCTGCAGCAATGACTCAGACATCGCCCTGCTAACATTTTTATTCCCTCTGTTCAGCTACTGCTTAAAATAAGAAACACTTACATGAGCTGCAGAATTTGCTTGTAGCAAAGAAAACACTCGGTATGCTGGAGCAGGGAGGCTATTTCAATAAAGTTAATGCTTCTGTCTGTTCACATACGACGCTCCCTCTGCTTTTAAGTATCTCTTTCCTTCAAAGGCAAAGTGATGCGTAGACTAGAAGAAATGGGGAAGCAATTTTGCCCCAACAATAGGTGCAGATGGAAAGAGAGCGTCATTTTAGCCGATCTCTTTGATGTCAACAATCAGGCAGAAAGAAAAGAACATAACAACCTGAATTCAACCAAGAATTGTCTTTCTTTTTTGTGTGTGCTGTGCCTTTGCATCGTAGGGGTATGTTCCACTGTTTGTGACTGCCACCGCTGGTACCACCGTCTACGGAGCCTTTGATCCCATCAATGAAATTGCCGACATCTGTGAAAAGTACAATATGTGGCTTCATGTGGATGTAAGAGAATATTGATCTCCAAGGAAAAAATGAACACAAAGCTGTACAAATCAGCAGTCTGCTGTGGCATTATGATCAATATCAATATGTTCAGTGTTATTACCATGTTGTGACCCGTGCAGGGTGCGTGGGGAGGAGGTTTGCTGATGTCCAGGAAACACAGACACAAGCTGAATGGAGTGGAGAGGTAAATGAACACATCGCCTGAACTTGCAAACACGGGTTTAGACGAATTTCTTGCACATCTGCTTCACTACTCAGCCTGTAAAAAGCAGCATCTTTTCTATATTATTTAAGACAGTCATTTTGTCTAATGAGCACAAATCAAGAGCTTGCCTACCAGGCGTTTTCAAGCTGCATATAATGAGAAAAAAAAATCTCAACACTCTAATTTAACAAAGGAAGCACACTTTACTCAAAACACACAAAGAGAAAGACAAGAGTCAGGCAATAAGAGGGCCAAAACAAGAATCTGAATGCCTTGTGAAGCACAACAAGCAAAAAAAAAAACCCAAAAGTTCTGGATAGCTGTTTCATGACGATCTCAGCTATGTCGTGTTAGTGAAAAGAGGCATTCTTGGTGACCTCATTTATTCTTTCAGCCACTTAAAAAATTTAGGTGCTGGAAATTATGTGACTTTGAGCTTTTCAGAGAAGACCAGCAGGCCAGAATATACAGGCACATACAGATGAGTAGCATATATTGTGATAAATGTGATCAAATTTACAGAGAGAGAAAATAATGAGGTGCAGAGCCTTAAGACAGCCCATATGTCTTTTTCTTTCTTTTTTTGAGTATTATATGTTCTATCATTGAGAATTTTAAACATTCCTGTCTCAATAAGATGTAAGAAGAGTGCAAGTCCTAAAAAAAACAGGCAAAGATTTTGAAAAATGTTTCAAAACTTGTCAAAAGAGGCACTGTCTGGCATTCAAGAAGTATTTTTTATTTGCTTTTTGGGAAAGTTTGACAATAGTTGCATTGAACATAAATAGGCAAACCCAGAGAGACACATCAGTAATTTCAAAGATACTAAGAGACACCATTTGATTGAAATCAGTGTCTTTAGTAGAGTGTGTTTCTTTGGCCAGAGAGGAAACTGGAAAATCTGTATTTTAGTCTTAAGCCAAGAGTGCAATCTGTTCTCAGCTCCAGCTACAGATTGCAGACTCCATATTTCAAAATGCAAACATGCAAAATTATTACATTCAAATCTTGAGAAGGTCGGTGTCTTTTTACCTTTCACTACCAGACTCCATAAGCACACACACACATTTCCACACCCTCACAGAGCTGTGTTTACTTTTTCAATATCTCTGCAGGGCCAACTCAGTCACCTGGAACCCTCACAAGATGATGGGAGTGCCACTGCAGTGCTCTGCCATTCTAGTCAGAGAGCGGGTGAGTATGTGTTTGTTTCACTTTCCTGCTCCGCACCATACCACCTCTGCACACACAAACGAATCTGTGCACTTTCACCAAAACCATCTTGTTCATGTCTCATCACGATCGCTTCCGTTGCAGGGACTGTTACAAGGCTGCAACTCTATGTGTGCTGGATACCTCTTCCAGCCAGACAAACAGTACGACGTTACATACGACACCGGTGACAAAGCCATTCAGTGTGGGCGGCATGTCGATATCTTCAAGTTCTGGCTGATGTGGAAGGCAAAGGTGTGCTTTAATCTGCAGTGCTTCTGTCAGCTTTGCTGCCATATGCAGAAGCAGATGGTAACAGCTTCTTTTTTTCCCCCTCACAGGGAACAGTAGGATTTGAGCAGCATATTGATAAGTGCCTGGATCTGTCAGCCTACCTCTACAATAAAATCAAAAACAGAGAGGGATTCAAGATGGTGTTCAAAGGAGAGGTGAGATGACTGTTTCCACAGCAAACATTTAAAAAATGAACATCCAGAGATTCCCTGCAGCGCTAACTCGAACAGATGAAAAATGTCTGTGCTTTATTTTATCCGAGTTTTCTGCTCCACAAAAGATATTTTTCATTTGTGATGAATAACCGCAATAATTCAGCACTTGATGCCTTAATTTGGTTTTGGGATTGATTGGGTCGCTTTGCTTTGCTGACATGTTGACAAGAAACGCTGAAAATACAGAAGGCAGCTTTTTATCAGCACTCATTACAAATGTTGTTCCCATTTTCTCTTATCAGCCGCAGCACACTAATGTCTGCTTCTGGTACATTCCACCGAGCCTGCGCAGTTTACCTGATGGTGAAGAGAGACGTCAGAGGTTGCACAAGGTAATTACTCCTCAATCTGCAGCTCCCCTGCTCTCTTAGATTGATTTACGCACCACTTTTCTGCCAGGTTTTATGGATTCATAAAGTCAAATATGAATATGTATACATATACATTTGCTTTGAATGTATTCTCTCATTGACCACTTTGTTAGGTACACCTTGCCAGTACCAATTTGGTCAATCTTTTACTTTCAGAACTGGATTAATTAATTGTAGTGTAGATTCAACAGGGTGCTGGAAACATTCCTCAGTGATCTTGGTGGTCTATTGATGAGAACACACGGTCGCCTCAGACTTTTCAGCTGAACATCATCGATGTGATTGAGATCTGGTGACTGGTGACTTTGACTGTTCTTTAGCAACAACAGCCTGAACCAGCCATACAAGACAGAATGGATCTATGCTTTAATTTTATTTACACAAGATTCTGACTCTACCGTCTGAATGTTGCAGCACAAATTCATCAGACGAAGCAATATTGTCCCAATCTTATATTGTCAAATTTTGGTGAACCTGTGCAAATTGTAGCCTCAGTTTCCTGTTCCTGGCACCCTAGTGTGGTCTTCTGCTGCTGTAGCCCATGTGCTTTGTGGTTCAACATGCTGTGTATTCAGAAATGCTCTTCTGCATACCTTGGTTGTAATGAGTGGTTATTTATTTTAGTGGTCACTGTTGCTTTCCTACCATCTTGAAGCAGTCTGGTCATTCTCCTCTGACGTTTGGCCTCAAGAAGATATTTTCACTCACTGGATATTTTTGGTGTTTTTGACCATTCCCGGTGAATTCTGGAGATCGTTATGTGGGAACATTATTTGTTTCTGAAATACTCAGATTAGCCCATGTGGCACCAAGAAACATGCAACATTTAAAGTCACTTAAATCGCCTTTGTTTGTCATTCTGATGCTCGGTTTGAAAATTCAGCATGTCGTCGTGACAATGTCTACATGCCTAATGCACTGAGTAGCTGCAATGTGATTCGTTGATTATATAGGTGGTGTGGCAGGTTAGTGTTTTGAATCTTCTGAATTTTTTTTTTTTTTTTTTTTGCAACAGGTGGCTCCGAAGATCAAAGCAATGATGATGGAGTCTGGCACTACGATGGTGGGTTACCAGCCACAAGGAGATAAGGTCAACTTCTTTCGCATGGTCATCTCCAACCCTGCCGCCACCAGGTCAGACATCGATTTCCTGGTCGAGGAGATTGAGCGACTGGGGCATGACTTGTAAGAGTCATACCTGTATTTTTTTTTCTTAACATTTTGTCTTTTCCAACTCTGGAGAGACTCAGGCTTGGCTTCGTATCCCGTCTATTTCCTCAAGACATATAGAGATGTTGCTTATGGGTCTTTTCTGCTAATGCACAACAAATAATAACGCCATGCCCTGTGTGTTTCTGTCTCTTGTCTTTTGCAACCGTGACATATACTTAACATATTTGCACAACAGGTTCTCTGAGTGAAAAGGTTTAAGCACAGTGGTATTCTTGATAAAAAACATACATGAAGAGGAGATGAAGCTGAGTTTAACATGGGTTACTTTTTCAATGAAATATGCAATAGCAAGAATGTCTGAACACTTGATGATTCTGTATATAGCTGCTATGAAAAATGAAAGACTGGTCAGGATCTAAAATTTAAATATTTTTTTCACAGATGACAGTTCGGGGCGCTATATAGTATATATGTACTATATGTGATAACTATCATTCGATAAAAGGTAAATATTAAGACAGTTGCACCATGACATTTTAGCTAATATTTCCCTTTGATATACACAAGTGGGAATATATATAACACAGTCACTGTAACAGGTTCTGTACTTGGTTGCTGTGTTTTTAGAATTTTTTGTGTAGATTGTGTAAAGTACTGTTACATTGCCTTTGTGCCAAATGTGTCCTAGTTTTACAGTGAGAAAATCCTATATGTAAATCAACCATATGTTATGTGGTAGCTACATGACTTTATTTATATTGAGAGATTATAATTGTGAATAGGTTGTCTGCTATTTGTAACCTACCTTCCTTCCTTTTTGGGAAACGCTGCTGTATTATATCGCAATGTTTTGAATAACAGTCATGTCTTTTAGTGTATTTGTGAACCAAAGAAGAGTTATGAATATGTACATGTCCCTTGTTCTCCCTTACAGAGAGACTCAGATGTTTATATAAGAGTACTTCATTTAATGCCTTTAACTTTAGTGCAATCAGTGTTGTGTAACCGTGCAATGTCATTGTGATTCACTGACTGGCAGTGTGGCCACTACTGCCGGTGCTTTGTTAATGATAAAAAAGCACAATGCTAAACCTTGATCGTGGGGCAGCTTTGATTCGAGGGACACATGATTGTCTGTATTATAATGTGTGGAGTGGAGTAAAAGTATAATATGCAAACTTTTGTCTGTCTGAACGTCGTCGCCATAGGAATGTTTTTGTGTTGAGAAATGGGGATTGTTTATGTTTTGCCTGAACAATGAAGTGCACAGTGTTTGCTACTATAACAAGCCTTATTAAACAACTGTACACTCCCGAATTAGAGGGACGCAATGTCTCTTGTCATATTCAATGTAAGTACTTTGGCAAATCATTTGCAAAGTATTACTGGTGTATCTACAAGGCTAATAAAAACACAAGCTTTAGGGTGTCTGTGATTACAGTTCTTTGTCAGAATGGCTTTTTTAGGTTAACAAAAGTGGTGTTACATCTTTATTCCTTTAGGTTGAACAGACCCCACTGTTGTACATACAATAATAGTTATAATTATTATTATTATAAAGTAAGCATTTTTCTTCTATAACAATCCAGTTATATTCAACAAACATCCAATCCCTTTACCAGAAACTGGGCTTCCACATTGTGCACATTGAGGGAGAAAAAAATACAGAAATGATCTCAAAGTATTACAAATACATCAAATAAAGAAAAGTTGTGTGTTTTATGGTTATGTGAATTGACTATATGTAATATACACTGCATAACTGAGACATCCCAGTGATAATAGAAGTCCAAAGTGGTCCCAGTGGGTAATAAATTGATTAAGAGCTGTAACCCCCTTTACCTGGAAGACTGGCTCCACCAGATTCCAAACTCAACATCAGAGGTCTCTGTTCAGAAAAGTGCAGTGCTGGAAAGCTACGGTGCTTCTAGATAACCCAAGCTTGAGGAAGACACCCATACACCACCAGGTTTTTTTGATAGAATATGCAGTAATGTGCCTTATTGTGTGAATGCAGTTGTAGTCAAAATGTCAAAAATGTAGTTTGTGTAGTTTTGTCTCCGTACACCATTACATGAGATTTTTAATGAAACAATTAAAATATGATTGAAGTGCAGACTTTCTGCTTTATTTCAAATTCTCACGAATAATGGGACAAATGACTGACAAGCATTCTCATGGCCAGGTGAGGTGTTCTTGCTTGTACGACTGAAATGTATGTTGCCATTATTGTAAAAGTCTACAATCAAGAGAATCCTTCATGAATGGAAATATAGGGGGTTTACAACAAAGTGCAAGCCAGTGGTTACATGCAAGAACAGAACGACCAGAATATAGACTTTGCATCTACATCTAAAAGATCCTGCAAGGCTCTGAAAAAGAATCTTTGGACCGATGAAATCAAGATTCATTTGAGCCAGAATGATGGGAAACAGCTCATGATATGAAATTATACCACATAATCTGTTAAACATGATGGAGACATGAGCATGTAGGGCTGCCAACAGTATTGGGTCACTAGTGTTCATTGATGATGTAACTGCTAATAGAAGTCAGTGACTAAATAGGATTTTCATCCAAGTATAAAAAACAATCCTTCTGTTAGTTTGTTCAGTCAATTTGAATGATGTGTATAAAAATCTCTGTGATTCCCAAACATCTAGAAAGATAATTGTCCAACAACTTATGGACCTATTGGTGTCGCCATAAAGATGCACTTTAAAGTAATAAACAGTTTATGGACACAGTAGGAACACTAAAATAAATGATTGAAACAGATGATAATATTATACAGTAAAGCTTAATTTAACAACACTGTAAAATAACGGTTTAATGCTGGACAGTCCAGCTGCCAGTATTTTACTGTAATTTAATAGGATATTTTTACTGTGTATAGGGCTGTGACTTTATTGTCACTTAGATGACAGACAGGTTTCTAGGATATCTCATCAGTTCATCATCATAATGATTTTTCATCATGTTTTCACAAAAGAAAAAAAAGGCCTCCGGGATATTCACGGTTCAAAGATCTATTGCATGCATCAAAATGGGTAAGACGTAAAGGATCACTGATAACTAAACTGAACATATGAAAAAAAATGTAGCAGAATATTTGGAGAAAAGAAAGAGAAGCTGACATGATTTTCCCCTTTATTTCTTCTGGTACATCTTTCCAGTCCACTTAGCTGTCACCAGTCGCCGGTCAGATTAATCACCCTGGAGGGACTTTTTATTGGCTGACCATCTCACAGCTGAGATTTCCTGAGCGACCCCTGCCAATCCTTTCACTTCTCTCATCACTCACACTTTTATCATAAAATGCATTAGACTGTGATTTCTTAACATTTTCCCCCCGCAGAGCCCATTTCGAGGATCTGCCGGGCTGTGTTTTATTTCGACTGTTTTAGCGGCTCTCCTCCCTTCCTCCACCCGGCAGACGCTGGTTCTTCGTTTCACGCTTCAGTGCAGCGATCATTACAGAGCTGATGTCAGGGGTTGCTTTGTAAAGTTACAGAGAGCAGAGAATTAAAGGAATAATCATGTATTTCAAAAGAAATAATCACTTCTTGCCACATCTACAAGGGGGAGAGCTTTTTCTTTTGGCTTGCAGCTCTATGGATGGGGGCATTGTTGAAGGTTAAATGTGCCAAAGGATAATAACATGGCTAATTTGGGAGCAGGTGCTGGAGAATGTTATAATGATTAAATGCAAATGAAACCCAATCTTCAGCTACTATAGGCTGTTACAGTCTAGTAACTCCGGACTGGATGCTCCTCATCATAGCATCAGACAAGTAAGACTATCCCATTAATACATGTAATGTGGAAAGAGGAGGTTTATGGTTGATTTACACTATAGAAACAATATTTGAAGGACTTTGATCCAATATCAGTAACTACATCAGTTTTAATTATAGGCATAATTAAACATTGGTGAAAAGAAGATTAGGGGGAGTGAAATAAAAGGAGGATGTAGCAGCTCTGTTTTCGCAGTAATCTGTGCAGTGTGGCCGGCCCGCCTCTCTAAACACCAGACCGTGAAACACTTAATGTCTGTCTCTGAACTAGTCTGTTCACCCTCCATTTCACACCTGGCACACACGCGCTGAGGATTCAGCACTCGTTATGAGACTGCAAGTGAAGTGAAATAAAAGGCTGTGATCATTCTCTCTGCGTTTTTGTTTCCGTGTTTTTGTTTTGTTTTCTTCATTTCCACAGCGGACACGTTTTTGGTTTAGTTGAATATTTTGTGGTTAATGCAGAAGTTTCCTCCTACACCCACTTTACCCATCCAGCCCCCCTCAGCTGCTGCTCCCCTCTCTTATATATCTATGATTCTTGTCAGTGGTTTCCCAATGTGCCAAATATATCTCCCACCCCTGGGAATCACTGCCACATTAGCTTCCTGATAGATACTGACAGTCCCATTGTGTGAGGCAAGTCTAATGAAATGATGATGATGATGATATTGACTGCAGGCTGCTTGCCAGCCCTCCCCCTCCCCCTCCCACTTCTTTTTTCTCCACACAACATCAATACACACATGCAGCAAACAATTTATGTTTTATTATCAAAAGTAAAAATGTTCCTGCTTCTATTCTTTTTGGTTAAGGGCGATAATCCTGTGCTCCTCTCTCCTTTAAAAGGTGTTTATGTGCTAATGAAATCCGTGCATGCTCTCAAATTCAAGCCAAACGGCAGCCTCGCTTGACAACAGGGTGATAAGAGAATCAATTATCAAACCTTGGCGCCTTTCACTTCTAAAGTAATTATAATGGGTTAAACTTATCTAAATAGCTTGCTCTTATTGACTGTGCGCCCCCAGCTTGATTAATCCTGGCAGAAAGTAGAAAATTAATAGTGCAGAGACTGTAACTTGCTTGTCTCCATAGCTGGGGAGTGTAAACCTAATGTGGTGCTTGTTAAAATTGAAAGGCTGCTAGTAAATGTCTCTGCTGGACATTTTCTAAAGGAATAAGCGCAAGCCCTGGAGCAATTACAAAGCAGCTTACCAAGTTTCCCCATGGTGATTGCTACCACGCATGCTAGATGAACTAAAAAACCCCTTGGCAGAAGTGTTGGCGCTGTTTTCTGCACAATACCACACAGTGAACCATCATAGTTTTCCTCTTTTGAACAGGAACAATAGTGCGGGAAACGTGTGTCTGGCCATGCTGCTTAAATTAAAATGATAAACAGCAACAATAATAATAATAACGCAACAAAGGCCTGTCCAGGTATTTGGCTCCACTGCTTTGTCATCTTAACGCAGGTCTTTCTAATTCACTTAGCATTTTATCTCTACCTCCCAGAACAGCAGAGTACATTATGTCAGCAGAGAGCATGTATTTATTAGATGCTTTCATGCTACAAAAACTGACCTCTCGCAGATGCTCGGCATTAAGCAAGTAACCCTGACAGTAATGGCTTATTATGTTTGTAGCTCTGGCTTTGCTTTCTGTGTCGAAATGCAGTGTGCGTGTTCATGTGTGCATGTTTGTGTGTGTGTGTGGACACCAGAGAGGGGCCATTAATGTCTTCCTCACCAGCTCAAACTAGGCATCTGTGGTAAAAACGCCTGAACAAAAGGACGGTGCATTTCTTTGCAGCTTTAGCTGTAAATTCGTTGAGGGACTGAAGAAGTATAAATCTGAGAACCAGATCCAGATCAGTGATTGTGCAGTTTTCAGGCGTCAGCAAGCTGCTGCTGAAATACAGCGTTTATTTATCTGCTTCTGGAAGGAGCAAGCGTCAACATGTAAAGCATATTTCTAACTGGCATACAAGGTGACACGAGGAATCGCTGTGTACAATGAAAGGTTTAAGTGTGAATGAATGGTTTATTAGCATGCTGTTGATCACAGTGCATGATAAATGAAAGGGACATGAAGCCAAAGGCCTTCAACTTCATAAACAGCACAAAATAAGAAAATAACATAAAATAATAATAAGTAATCATAATAATAATGAGAATAAGTAATGCAAATAGTCAATACATCATAATTTGGCCAGTGATAAAAATGGTAATCACCAGGGAGTTTTTAAATCAAAGAATTTATTGTGCTTTTATCTGAAAAGTTGTTCCTGCTACTGATATCATATTGCTTTTAAATGGAATTTGAAATAAAATGCTTATTTACTTAGAAGATTGAACACATGAGTTGTTTACATTTTTCTTGAAGCAATGATGAAGTCTTATATTCTAGCAGCAGCTATATTTGCATAAACTCCTCATGGCCATTTTAACTAATACCTGAAAAATTAAGTTACTGCAAGTTTAAAGTCACAGTCATCTAACAACAGAAAAAATACTGATCGTCTAAAAGAAAAAAATGCATAACTAAAAATGTTTTTCTTTTACACCAGCAAACAGAATTCTTACTGAGCATCTTATTGTTTGGTTTAATTAGTAATGTAGGAATGTTGCTCTTGCAGC